AGACCTCATCTCTACAATAAATCAAAAAACTAGCTGGGTGTGGTGGTACACGCCTATAATTCCAGCTACTTGGAAGGCTGAGGCAGAAGGATCACCTGAGCCCAGCTGGTCCAGGTTGCAGTGGCCCATGAGTGTGCCACCACACTCTAGCCTGGGCAGCAGAGTGAGACTCTGACTCAAAAAAAGGAAGAAATTGAAACCCTTTGTTAAAGATGGCAGAGGAAGAGGAGGGAAGGAATCCAGGTCCATGAGCCGCCATGCCTGTTCTAGACCTCCTACCAGGACATGTAGGTATGAGACAGAAATACATTTGGAAGCTGGGCTCGATTCCCGCACTTTGGAGGCTGAGGTGAGTGGATTGCCTGAGCCCGCGGGTTTGAGACCCGCCTGGGCAACTTGGCGAGACCTCATCTCTACAATACATCAAAAAAATCAGCCGGGCGTGGTAGCACGCACCTGTAATTCCGGTTACTCAGAAGGCTGAGGCGGAAGGATGGCCGGAGCCCAGCAGGTGGAGGCTGCGGTGGCTGGGAGCGGCCACTGCACTCCAGTCTGGGCGACAGAGTGAGACTCCAACTCAAAAAAAAAAAAAAAAAAAGAAAGAAATACATTTGGATATTGTTGAAGCCTCTATTATTTTCTGGCGGGTTATACTATTTGGCAAATATTCACTCTCCCTCCTCTTTCCCCATGTGGAAGGAGCACGCTTCCTCTGCCTTATTGACCAATAACATGTGACTTTCTTTAGACAAAGAAACATGAGCAGATTGGATTGATGTCATGCCCAAACAGAGGCTTCCATTGTGCTTCTACTGGTTGGCTTGGTCTTTGGGGTTTGTGCCTTCCTCTATGGGAGGAGTATGCCCTCAGGTAACCACCTCTCCTTTAGCCAGAGTCCTGGAAAGAGGACTCAGGCTTATGAGAGACACGTAGCATAGACCTAAGCCCCACCCACAGCCCAAAATAGATACAACCAGCCTGTGTGCAGAACCATAGGCGAAAAAGGTTTGTTGTTGTAAGCCACTATGATTTGGGGGATATTTGTTATGCATGCTATCACAGCAAAAGCTGACGAACGCAGGTGTTCTCTGTTATAACATCAGGAGTCTGTACTCTAAAACAAGGAATGGAAAGTGTTTCCTGGGCAACCCCTTTGGGTCCCCTCCCTCTGTGGGAGCTTTTCTGTTGTCTCAATAAATCCTGTTTTCTGAAGGAAAGAAAGGGAGAAAGAAAGAAAGAAAGAAAGAAAGAAAGAAAGAAAGAAAGAAAGAAAGAAAGAAAGAAAGAAAGAAAGAAAGAAAGAAAGTGCCGGGCTCGGTGGCTCAGCCTGTCATCCCGCGCCTTTGGGAGGCTGAGGTGAGTGGATGGCCTGAGCCCACGGGTTCGAGACCCACCTGGGCAACGAGACCTCATCTCTACAATAAATCAAAAAATCAGCCGGGCGTGGTAGTACATGCCTGTAATTCCGGCTACTCGGAAGGCTGAGGTGGAAGAATTGCCGGAGCCCAGCAGGTCGAGGCTGCAGTGGCCAGGAACGGCCACTGCATGCCAGTCTGGGTGACAGAGTGAGACTCCAACTCAAAAAAAAAAGAAAGAAAGAAGGAAGGAAGGAAGGAAGGAAGGAAGGAAGGAAGGAAGGAAGGAAGGAAGGAAGGAAAGAAAGAAAGAAAGAAAAAGAAAGAAGGAAGGAAAGAAAGAGGGAAAGAAAGGAAAAGTGTTTCCTGAATCTCATCACCAGGCTACTTGTGATCTTAGCAGGAGTTGCCTTGGTGGTGTGGTGAGGACCTAAGGTAGATTAGAATCTGCTGAGTAGTGAGAGAGAGGTAAGGCAAGAGAGATGCCTGTGCAGAAAACTTTTTGAAGAAGTTTAGCAATGCTCAGGAGAGGAAGGACACTCATTGAAGAGGGAATTGAAGTCCAGTAACAACCATGGAGCTGCCCTGCCCAGATCTCCCTTCCAGAAAAACTGGCTGAAGATCTGTGAGGAGGGCAGTCAGCTGACAGCCTCCAGCTGAGCATCTTCAGGACATCTGCAGCCTCTGAGCCCAAGCCAAACGCTTCCCGGGCATCCTCCAGCCGGTGACTGAGCCAGTGAGTCAGAGCCATGGTCATGGAAGGCAGGGAAGGACGAAACCTCATCTTTTTTTTTTTGAGTTGGAGTCTCACTCAGTCGCCCAGACTGGAGTGCAGCGGCCGCTCCCGGCCACCGCAGCCTCGACCTGCTGGCTCCGGCGATCCTTCCGCCTCCGCCTTCCGAGTAGCCGGAATTACAGGCGCGCGCTACCACGCCCGGCTGATTTTTTGATTTATTGTAGAGATGAGGTCTCGCCTGCCCGGGCGGGTCCCGAACCCGCGGGCTCAGGCAATCCACTCACCTCAGCCTCCCAAAGGCGCGGGATGACAGGCTGAGCCACCGAGCCTGGGTTATTTATTTATTTATCGTAGGAAAGAAACCTTGCCAATTTGCCCAGGCTGGTCTCGAATCCCTGGACTCGGTTAATCCTCTCCCTACGGCCTCCCAAAGTGCTGGGATTACAGGCTTGAGCCACCACACCCGGATGCTCTTTGCTTTTAGTGAAAGAGACTGGAGCTCGCTTAGAAGCTTGATGTGAGAAAATCCAACTGGGGAAGAGTAGCTGAGTGCAGGTGATGTGCAGAGAGGAGTTCCTGGAGAAGGCAGAGACATGGGGGTCTGGACTGTCGGTGGGTTTGTTCCCCAGGCCAGGGCAAGAGGGAGGAGTTAAGGAGGGATGGGTGCAGACTGAGGTTGTGTAGGTGGTGGAGCAGGGTAGTGGTGACCTTCCATCAGAAGTTTCTTTTTCCAAGAAATGGAAAGCAAGATCGGGCCAACTACGTCCTGTGAGGCCTACAGGCTGTGCCATTTTCCTCTTACCGTAGTCTTCCTCCTATACCATAAAAACCTTGGACTAAGCCGGGCTCGGTGGCTCAGCCTATAATCCCGCGCCTTGGGAGGCTGAGGTGAGTGGATTGCCTGAGCCTGAGGGTTCGAGACCCGCCTGGGCAACTTGGTGAGACCTCATCTCTACCATAAATCAAAAATTAGCCGGGCATGGTAGCACGCGCCTGGAGTTCCAGCTACTCAGAAGGCTGAGGCGGAAGGATTGCCGGAGCCCGGCAGGTCGAGGCTGCGGTGGCCGGGAGCGGCACTCCAGTCTGCACTCCAGTCTGGACAGAGTGAGACTCCAACTCAAAATAATAATAATAATAATAACCTTGGACTAGATCACTGGTCCCCAAACTTGTTTGATTCTCAGGAGTTTTTCAAAAATGCACATTTTTTTCCCCTCTAAAGACAAGGTCTTGCTACGTTGCTCAGGCTGGACTCGAATTCCTGGGCCCAAGCGACCCTCCCGCCTAGCCTCCTAAGGAGCTGGGACTACAGGCACACGCCACCATGCCTGGCTCACAAAAATACACTTTTGAGAGGACTCTACCCTTAAACTGTCGGACCAAAATCGCCAGGCCAGGATCAATGAGGACAGGGATCTATATTCAGTCATGCACCACGTAAGGATATTTGGGTCGACAGAGGACTGCATATGGGTCTGTGGTCCCATAAAATTGTCATACCGTATTTTTGTTGTTCCTTTGCTATGCTTAGACAAATTTAGATACAAAAATACTTACCATTGTGTTACAATTGCCTCCAATATTCAGTAGAGTTACATGCCGTACAGGTTTGTGGCCTAGGAGCAAAGACTGGACCATATAGCCTAGGTGTATACAGTAGGTTACACCATCCAGATTTGTCTATGTACTCTCTGTGGTGTTTGCACAATAATGACATTGCCTGCCGGGCTTGGTGGCTCAGCCTGTAATCTCGTGCCTTGGGAGGCTGAGGTGAGTGGATTGCCTGAGCCCGCGGGTTCGAGACCCGCCTGGGCAGCGAGACCTCATCTCTACAATAAATCAAAAATTAGCCGGGTGTGGTAGCGCACGTCTGTAGTTCCAGCTACTTGGAAGGCTGAGGCGGAAGGATCGCTGGAGCCCAGCAGGTCGAGGCTGTGGTGGCCGGGAACGGCCAATGCACTCCAATCTGGGTGACAGAGCGAGACTCCAACTCAAAAAATAAAAAAAATAAAAATAATGACATTGCCTAATGATGCATTTCTCAGAACTTATTCACATCATTAAGCAATGCATGACAGTATTAGATGTATATAAATAAGTATATATCTATGTGTATAGAGACAGCTCTGTTGCCCAGGCTAGAGTGCAGTCATGCGATCATAGCTCACGGAAGCCTCAAACTCCTGGGCTCGAGGAATCCGCCTGCCTCAGCTCCCATGCAGCTTGGACTTCAGGCACATGCCACTACACCCCAAAAATGTTTTGACTTATTGTAGAGTCAAGGTCTCATCATATTGCCCAGGCTGATCTCCAACTCCTGGGTTCAAACAATCCTCCTGCCTCAGCCTCCCAAACATGACTGCATATTTAAAAATCTCCCCTGGGGGTGATGGCGATGCACCGCCCAGTTTGGGAACTGTCTTTTGAGGGCTCTCGGGGCCCCTCCAGCTCGGCCAGTTTGTGTCCAGTAGGAAGATGCAGAATCCCAGCACAGACCTTCACTGCAGCTACAAGCTACAGAATCAGCCACACATCCCTTCCTGGCGCCTATAACTACAAAAGCGCCAGAGGTACCAGAACTCAAGAAAAACCGAACAGTAAGGCAAAACCAGCATCACCCGAGTGAGGGTGTGGGGTCCTGCCTAAGTGGGAAGCCCACCCCAGGCACTGTGGCTCTTGAGACTCTTTCCAAACCCCCAGCTGAGACAGGGGTCAGGACATACTCGAGAGGAGGCCTCAGGTTGGATCGGGATGCTTGGCTACCCGGCAAAGGGGTAGAGACCAGGCCAGGCCTTTCTGAAACCTGAGCCCGGGGGTGGGGGGAGAGGGGGGAGGG